GGAGGGAGAACTGAGATGAAGACCTGAGGGTCACCTTAAGGAGCTCTGCCTTGACAGGAGAAGGCTAAGGACATGCTCAGTGGGGGGCCTGATGAGCCATACCCCACAAGCTGAAACAGCCACAGCCTCTCTGAAGTTGGGGTGGTGGATGGTGTGGACGAGAGGAGACGGAGCCCCTGCAGTCTCTCCTCACAGGGCACAGTGCTCATCCACAGCTTAGCTCTCCCTAGCTCCAGCTATTTGTGAGTAACCACACTTGAAAACTTTACATAGGAAACTCTAGAAATAAACAATTCATAAGTTCAAGTGACTTTTGTGATAATACCTTGCTATAAGGACTCTATTTTGTTATTGGTTGACCTTCATCAGAGAATGTAGACGAAGGGGGGGGGGGCAATCACAGCAAACAAGGGACTCAGCACTGTGCACTGGGCCTGGACGGACAACCACTGCCCAGACCCTATAACACACACTAGCTTCCCAGCATCCCCAGCATTTCATGCCTATCCTGGTCATCCACCCAAATGCACCTGCTGCTTTCCAATCTTTCCCAGAATGAAATCATTTCGTACCAGAGCCTTGGTGATCAGTCCAAAATTCTAATCCAATATGCCACCTTCCTACCAAGAACAGAGTCTGTGGAATGCTCTGGGGAGAGGAGCAAGAACGAGCCCTGGCATTGATAAAATGGCACTTCACTCCCACACACTTTGCTATTTGCATTTTCCAAGTTTATTTTCTGAATCTCTTTTGCTTCTCTGACTTCAGTCCATCTCCCGCCTTCATTTCCATTTTCCGTTCTTCCCCCTTGCGTTATACTTCTCACACATCTGCGGGTCTTTCTCTTGTTGTCGGCATTGTTGTTTCCTTGAGGAACACTGAGTGAGTCCCTGTGGAAGGAGCCAGGTCTGAGCTTGCTTTTTCTTTTATCTGTTTTTACAGAGGCTACGCTTGCAAAGCTAGAGAAAAGCATAAGCGGATAAAGAGCCACACACTCTCTCTTTGAGTCAACCTATAACATTTGTTATAAAAATACTGAGGCGTGCGGTTATGAAGTTAACTGTAGCTGCCCGATCACTGGCCCAGGAGCTGAGTGAGCACATAAGATCTGCTATTCTACAGTCCTCAGGGGTGCTGGCCCAGTGTAGTTCAGGCCACACACACATCCTTATCTTAGTTACTCTTCTCAAAAAAGGAAGCTATAGTAATAAACACATTATGCAAAATGTAAAAGAATCTAAGGCAAGTGGAATTTTTCAAACATTTTCATTTCTATACAACCAGAACACACCTGCTAGGCAAACAGGAGAGCACTGTGTCATGTAAAGGGTAGCGACTTGCCTCGTGCTAAGCAGAGTGGCTGTGCAGCTCACAGTCACCAGCACTCTGCTGAATGATACGCTGCAAACCGCACACACTGCACCTTGTAATGAACTACTTCCTGAAATTCATGTCATGTTCACGACCTAACTCTCTAATTTAATTACCAGCTTGACAGATACTCAGTGGTGCCCTTAAAAATGAGGAGGAGGGGCTGCAGCGAGCTTTCAGCAGTTATGAGCACTGGCTGCTCTTTCCTGGAACCTATATGGCAATTCACAACGGTTTGTAACTCCAGTTCCAAGGAATATATCATCCTTTTCTGGTCTCTGTTGGCACTACATACATGTCAAACATACAAACATACACACCGGCAAAACACACACATCAAATTAAAAACTGAAAAAAAAAGAAAAGAAAACTTGTAAGGAGTTTTTGCCTCCTGTATTTCACACAAAGCTCGGGGTGTTATACTCTAAGACGGTGAGGATAGACTAGTTAAAGACACTTACTTTACATGGAAGTGCCATGAAGGTTTCATTCCTATCATTATGCAGCTCATCTGTACTGATTGGTAAAATTTGTCATTTTTAAATCTAAAACTACTGACAAGCTTGATAATATGATACCTTTACAAATATAGCACAGATAATTAAATCAATAGTAATTTTCCTATAACCCAAGATCAGTGCATTATATTTTATATATGAGAACAGAACATGAACCTGATTTTCCAAGTTGGAATCAGCGGTACAGTGCACATGGAAAGTATCTGTGCAGTGCACAGGAGAAGTATCTGTGCAGTGCACAGGAGAAGCATCAGTGCAGTGTACATGGGAAGTATCTGTGCAGTGCACAGGAGAAGTATCTGTGCAGTGCACAGGAGAAGTATCTGTGCAGTGCACAGGAGAAGTATCTGTGCAGTGCACTTGGGAAGTATCTGTGCAGTGCACAGGAGAAGTATCTGTGCAGTGCACAGGAGAAGTATCTGGGCAGTGTACAGGAGAAGTATTTGGGCAGTGTACATGGGAAGTATCTGTGCAGTGCACAGGAGGAGTATCTGGGCAGTGCACAGGAGAAGTATCTGGGCAGTGCAGAGGAGAAGTATCTGGGCAGTGCACAGGAGAAGTATCTGGGCAGTGCACAGGAGAAGTATTTGGGCAGTGCACAGGAGAAGTATCTGGGCAGTGCACAGGAGAAGTATCTGGGCAGTGCACAGGAGAAGTATCTGTGCAGTGCACATGGGAAGTATCTGGGCAATGTACACGGGAAGTTGGATAGACTCTTTTCCTTAACAGTGTCACCATCTGTTGCTCTTTTATCCTGGCAGTGTCTCTGGCAGCAGACTAACACACAAACCACGTCTGTGGCAGTGCAGGTGTCGACAACTGGGCAAGCACTGGGTAAAGACCTGAGGGTTCCCTTAGGGTTCAGAGTGGTTTCTTTCTTGTAAGGTTTCAAAGACTCCAATTGAATGCTGATACAAAATAAACATTTAATGAAATGAAGGAACTGACAACTTTATAAGAAACATGGATGATTTTTGGGGTGTCTAACATTAAGAGAATAGGATTTACAACATTGTTATTTAAAGTAAATTTTCATTAAACATGCTCACTAAAATTCATTTTTCCTAATAATTACTTATAAACCTAAAGACCACACTTTCCAGTAATGTATAGACATATATTAGCTTCAGTATGATACTAAAATGGAAAAGCAGGCCCACCCTTTGAAAGTACTTTGGAGTCCAGATGTTTATCTAAGAAATTGCCCTAGTCTTCTTATTATGAATATGAGTACTCACTATGTAAATTGCTAATGTCCTTCTGGTTTAAAATACTCAAACTGGGTTTTTCAAGTGTTTTTACTAAGCATACTTTCCCAAGAATGGTAAAAACATTTCCATCTTACCATGAACTATATTAAAATCATATGTTTTAATTTAATGGTATCTGTCCAGCTTTTCCATTATGCCACCCAAATGTCTGTCCTACATGAAGACTTTGTCATTCTTGTTGATAAAATATGCTCTAATTATCTTAATTACTATGCTCAGCATACTTATTAATGATAACACCATTATAACTTGTCTTTATAACATGAGCACTAGCATTAAAGTGCACTCTTGGGCCAGATTAGTTGTCACCTTTAAACACAGAGGGTGTGTTTGGAAGTGCACCCGCACTGTAAAGGTCTTAAGGCAGCACAGTGTTTGGGCTGTGGGGAAGAAAACTCTTGTTTTCTTATCTACAATTACTGGAATCCAGGGTCAAGTCTCCTATTCTCTGGTTGGTTGTCACCTCCAAGATATGCAACCTTGTCTCAAGTTTCCTAATAACAGAAGAATATTCCAGTGCATAAATTCTGGCCATGTTAAAAAACAACCAACCAACCTCCTATTTGTCAACCAGCTCTGCACGCTGTCCAGTTCCTACCACTGTTCCCCATCTTTGTCCACTCACACTAACTACCTACTCCTGCCAGCCCTATTTTTTGCTCACATACAGAAAGATGCTTTATGGACACTATTTTTAAAATAAAACTTCTGTAGCTGCACTCTGAAGTGTCAGAAAGAAAGCAGTTCTGCTGAAAGGATTGCCAGACAGTGTGGCAACTGCGGGGTCTATTGAGAAAGAACAACATGAAGGAAAAATACAAATAGAAACTGACCCAAGAAAATTCATCTTTCCTATACCCATATCTGGATCTTAACTATAACTTTTCTGTTTGTTTCTTTGTTTTGTATGCACGAATGCTGTGAGAGTGGAAGTCAGAGGTCAGCTGTGGAGTTAGTTCTCTCCTTCCACCACGTGGGTTCTGACCTGAAGTCCTCACACTTGGCAGCGATGCTTTCAACAGAAAATAAAGGCATAAACGGGAGTTCAGTTTATAATATCAAAAATTTGAATAAAAATTTCCCCAATGAAAGAAAAGAAGGAAAAAGACAGTAAGAATTAAACATAATGAACCAATGAAAATGAAATCATACATTTAAAAAAACAACAACAACCGGGAAATTGAAACACTGAAAAGGAGAAAGCCACACACAATCCTCTGAAGATGTCAGGAAAGGATTAGTAAATAAAACTGAATTCCTGGAAAACTAGAGCCATCACTACAGAACCAGCAGCAGCATAAGAGATGCTGTGGATTAATCTTGGCCGACAAATTTAATAGTTAAGAGAGCAGCAATAAATCCTAAGAAAAAAACAGCTTCTTAGGACTGGCTAACATGGTAGAAAAATACTCTGCCCCACTGTTTGAAAAATTGGAATGTTTCCAGAATCCACAACAAAGAATCATCTAAGTATTAAATACCACCTCCTTCAAACACACATACATTCCTCCACAACCATACCACCACACCCCACATAAACCCCTACCCTCCCACATATACACCCCCACACCATCCCCACATACCCTACATATACCCCTACAACCCCACACCCCCCCACACCATCCCCACACACATGCAGACCCTACAACCCCCACACACCCTTACACAAACAGAAACATACAGCCACCAGATCACTTTCCTAAACCAGAACTAACTCCCAGACAAAATCTTGCAGGGAAAGCAAACTTTAAAAAGTATAGACCACTATAGCTCTATAAAGCCTAGAACTCTTCAGTAAGATATTTTTAAAATTGAATCTAGCAACATCTTTTTTATTCAGTCTCTGTAGAGACTATCAAAAATTGCCAACGTTGACTATATTGCAAGTTGTCTGTCACTGCAGGGTACTGGGAAACGCTTTCGATTAGCAATAATTGCACCTCGGATAAACCTCATTGGCCAAGACACCGCTACTGCGCAAAGCACCAGCAGCGTGTTTTAAAAGAGTAAATATCTAATAAATGCAAGTCAGATTTAAACAACACAACAAAAGAATAAAAACCATGGATTTTCTCTATAGTTTCTGTTTTATAAAGGGCTGCTTTTAGACAGCAAGTCATCCAACAGTGAGATGTGGGGATTTCTTTAAACAGCAAGGGAAGCCTACGTCACCACTTTGACATTTATTGATTTATTATTATTGTGTGGGTGGCTGTGCTATGGTATGCCTGTAACAGTCGGAGAATGGCTCTGTGGAATCCGGTCATTTCCTGTCACTTCTCTGTGAGTTCTGGGGACTCAGTGCAGGTCACCAGACTTGCACTGTGGCTCAGCAACCGCTGTCATTTGCTGAGCCACCTCACTGACCTAAACACTACAATTTCGTCATCATTTTATTTAACGCAAGTGAATAAGGCAAAGAAGAAAAAAAAATAGTGGTGTAAAATGCAAAAATAAAACTTTGATTATTCCCAACCAGTATGACGAAACATATCACTATAAAAATTTATCAGAATAAGAAATAATTCAAGTGGATGATTAGATAGAAATCTGTCTATAGTTATTCAGCATTTTATTTTCCAGCAAGAACTAAAAAATAATTTTTAGTAAAATAGAATTAAATAAATATCCCAATTAACTAAAAAAAAAAAAAGTTAAATTTGTGGCCAGGGATACAGCTCTGTGATACAGTAAATTCCATGAAGGGGGCAAAACTAATATAAAGTTCCCCCAACCCTAAAATGTACTCATAAATGAGATCTTTATGAAGGAAGTGTAAGACATTAACAGCCAACAAACCCCCCAAAACTGTCCCCATATTTATGAGCAGGAGCCAGTCGGCAAAGATGCCGAGTTTGCTTCTTCTAACTCAAAAAAAAAAAAATCCAAAATGACTTACTTCTACATAATATGAAAATTTAAATAGTTGTGTGAAAACCTTCTTTCTACTCTCAAAGCACTCTGAACAAAACTTGAGAGTCCCCACCGCTGTTCACGGCCCCCACACACTTCAGTATCCACACATACAGACAAACAGAACAGAAAATCTAATGAACCCAGGTATATATCAAAATTGAAGAGTCACAAAAAGAGAAGATTCAATAAATGTTTCCCAGACTACAATACAGACATTTGCACTTCCATGTTTATTACAGCACTTTCCAGAACAGCTACGGAAGTGACGGAATTGGGTAAAGAGAAGTGAACAAGGAAATGCAGTATACACATAGTGGGAAACCATTCGACAATAAGAAGAACTGGATTTGTAATTTCCTCACCAGATTAGGGGGATCACGGTGCTAAGTGAAGTAAGCCAGGCACAGAAAGGCAATTACTGTATGTCATCACTCAAACGTGCAATCTAAAGAGACACGTCATAGACATGGAGAAATGAGCGTGGCTCGAAGCTGTAAAGCTACAGTGAAGAGCAGCAGAAGGCTCTGGTGTGCTGCCGCCTACAGGGTAAGGCAGCTGCAGATGGCAATGCGCCTTTGCCCAACTGATTAAATATTACACATATCATCAAAACATAAGATACCCCAACAATGTGACACTTAGGAAATTAATTCAACTAATTAAAAAAATCTTTAAAATAATGAAAAAGAAAAATATCAGCAATGGTTACTCATTTGAAAAAATGAATTGGAAAACTATATGTAAAAGGATTAAGCGGGTTTTAAAGTATTTTTACATTTATTCATCTGTGGAGGGAGGCGCGGACAATTTGTGGGAATCAGTTCTCTCCTTCCCTCCACCATATGGGCTGTGAGGCTCGAACTCGGGCCATCCGGCTTGGCACTCAGTGCCTTTACCTGCTGAGCCAAATCACAGCTGCTTAAATGTAGTTTTAAAAATCAACTCTGAAGAGTATTTTTAATTTGAAATGTAAAAGTCTCTTAGAAGAAAATATGGGGGGCAGGGGAATTAGATCTTGTGGTAGGGAAGATGTGTCTTACTAGAAACAAAACACCCAAATGACAAAGCTGGGTGTTTGTGCAGGCCTAAAGTCCCAGAGTGTGCAAGGGGGTGGGATTGGACGGGGACTGAGGAAGGGAAAACAGATGAGTCAAGAACTATGTGTATTCAAAGGCAAAAGTTCATGCCTGTAATCCTGGCACCTGAGAGGCAGAGACAGTACTGTCTGGTGAATCTGAAGCTAGATTTGGCTACAGAGTAAGATAGAAAAGATGGAGGAACAGAGAGACTGAAGGAGGGAGGAAAGGGAGCGGGGTGGGGGGGGGGGGGGGGGGGAGGGAAGGGAAAAGGAGGGGAATGAAACTCCAGACAAAATCATAAATGATGGAATAAAGTTGAGGAGTTATCACCCAATATACTCTGATAAAGAGAGGGAGCTGGGTATCCTGGAAGCGTGCAGACAGCACTGGAGAGCAAGCACTGCAGCAGGCAGAACACACGTGCAGGAAGATATGCCTGATGTTAGTTTCCCAGGACACCAGTGTGGCCAGCGCTGCTTCCTGATGTTAAGCGCCTATCTAACTATAACCTGGTTCACTAAGTCAAAACAGAACTTGGCTGCTCCGGGCTTACACCACCGGGTTATTGGTGCAGGGCAACTAAGGAATAGGTCATCAAATAAATCAGATGAGTTCAGGTTTTTCCTTTAAGCTTAGTCATCAAAGAAGAAAAAAAGAAAGAGAGAAAAAGAAAAAGGAAGAAAGGAAGAAAAAAAGAAAGAGTGTTTAGCATCCATTACATCCATTCAAATTAGAAACAGTGCTAAGAGCTGGGAAGAGGGTCTTCCAGCGGGGTGTCCCGGGGTCACCATACTGTCCATGTGTTACAGACGTGTGACAATACCATAGAACATGATTTTAAAGCGAAGTATTAAAGCTGATCCAAGAAACAGCACACAACCAAACGAAGTGTGCAGATCCAGGCCTGAACACTGGGAGCCCAGTGTTCAAACTGGTCACAGAACCGAATCCAGCACCAACACAAAATATCTAAGCAAAGAAATAGGACACACCCCTCCTAAGGGATCTATTGCTATGTTCCACTACCATGTAGGAGAGAGCAGTTTATGTAAATCCTATCTGACGAATGCTGTGAAGCAAAGGGACGGGAAGAACAAGTAGACTTAATTTACAGCTAATTTAAATGTTATGCTTAGAAACAATTCCCTTCTCATTTGATCACGTGAATATCTCTGCTGTTCGGCTGTAGGCACATATTAAATATAATCTCTTTGGATTCTGCTTTATTGTCAGGTGGGAAATAAGGATCCAATTACATTCTCCTCCAAATGATTTAAAAAGCAGGAGCAGACAGCACCCGAGGCGGGCACAAGGACATCATGGGGACGGCACCCGAGGCGGGCACAGGGGCATCATGGGGACGGCACCCGAGGCGGGCACAAGGGCATCATGGGGATGGCACCCGAGGCGGGCACAAGGGCATCATGGGGACGGCACCCGAGGCGGGCACAAGGGCATCATGGGGTCGTGAGCGTCGCACTCGCACCCCCACCACCAAGCTAAAGTCAAAATAAATCGAAGTCGCTTAGATTTTATCCATAAGGAGATAAAAAGAAAAAAATAAGTGTATTAGCATAATTTAAGTCATTTCTTTAACCGACTGGTTTATGACTGACAAAGTCAGGTACCCTTCTCTTTTTTTTTAAAGACTTATTTATTTTCATGTGCATTGATGTTTTGCCTGCAGGTATATTTGTGTGGGGATGCCAGATCCCTTGGAACTGGAGTTACAGACAGTTGTGAGCTGCCATGTGGGTGCTGGCAATTGAACCCGGATACTCTGGAAGAGCAGTTAGTGCTCTTAACCCGTGAACCATCCCTCCAGCCCAATTTAAGACACTTTTAAATTCTACTGATTTATGACTGGCAAAATCAGGATCTATATTGACATATTTACCCTTCCTTAATATATTTAAAAAAATAGAAAAACCTTGTAATTTGGTCAACGAGCAGGTCTTTGTTGGGTTGGTTCTGAAGGAGCTGCAGCTACACTGCTCCCACTAGGCGTCAGTTAGTGACGCATCCCAGCTAGAACCGACTGCAATGGTGTGAGCAGGAGGGACAACCCATGGTCAGGGACGAACCATGGGCTCTTTGATGGACACAAAGCATTTTAGGACCATTTGCCATATAGAGCAAAACAAACAAACAAAACAGCTTTTTATGTCACATAATTCACAGACAAAGTGACATCACGATGCCTTGCCATCACTAGAACCAGGTAGCCCATGCTCATATGGCCTCCTTTCATGGAAGAAGTGGTTTCCTTTATGAAAAATATATAAGCCACTAAGAAAATGAGACCTTAGTGCTGCTCTTACAGGAAGGCTTCTCACACTGAAGGAGAGGAACTGGTGTTCTTACTTCCAGGTGGAAGGGAAGCTGTTTTCTTTCCCTTGCTCAGAACTTTTGTGTGAAAAACCAAAGCCAGCAGCAAAGAGAAGGAACTGCCCTCATTCATTATTCACACGGGGTCTGCCCAGAGCCACCTGTCAACCAGAGCTGCCCAATTATGCCAAGGCGCACTGCCCAGCTTCTTTCCTCCCGCCTTTGTTCTTTCCTCCCTCTTCTTGCATTTAGTTCACGTTTGTGAGAACTTTTTGGTCTGGAGAAAAGCAGGCAACACAAGTGACATTCGTTCTTCTGCTTGGAGCTGCTCTCCCCAGCCCTGGCTGTGAGCAGAGATGGCTGTAGCAGTATCTGAAGGGGCCTCTCCTAACCTCACTAGATACCACAGTGTGGCAACGAGGGCAAAGGTGGTCAGGAACCTTTCAAGGTAACAGCATGGTTGTGGCAATGTGTACCCTTTCTAGTCTGGCTTTTATGCAAGAATCACCAAGGGTCAGATTCCTGTTGGAGATATAATGGAACAGAAATGGGGTGGGTGGGGTGGGGGGCGAGAATTAAGGAGGACACTAATGCTGCCGCAACACCACATATGAACAGGCACAACGCTGAACCAAGAAATGCGGACTGGGAGATTACAAAAC